TACCTAAACTAACACAGACTGAGGTGGAAAAGTTGAACAGACCCATAGCAAAAGAAGTCATTGAAAAATTACCAACAAAAAAAAAAGCCCTGGCCCAGATGGTTTCACTGGTGAATTCCACCAAACATTCAGAGAAGAACTGACACTAATCCTACTCAAACTATTGCATAATATAGAAAAGGATGGAATCCTCCCAAATTCATTTTATGAAGCAAGCATAATCTTGATACCAAAACCAGGTAAAGACATTACTAAAAAGGAAAACTACAGACCAATATCCCTCAAGAATTTAGATTAAAAAATCTTCCAACAAAATCCTAGCCAATAGACTTCAACAACATACCAAAAAAATAACACATTATGACCAAGTGGGGTACATACCAGGTATACAAGGATGGTTCAACATTAGAAAAACAATATCATTCATCAGATAAATAAAAATAAGGAAAAAAATGACATGATTATATCAATCGATGCAGAAAAAGCATTTGATAAAATCCAATACCCACTCCTTATCAAAACTCTCAGCAAAATAGGAATAGAAGGGAAATTCCTCAATATAATAAAAGGCATATATGCAAAACCAACAGCCAACATTATGCCCAATGGAGAGAGACTGAAACCATTCCCCTTGCAAACAGGAACCAGACAAGGATGCCCTCTATCACCAATTCTATCCAACATTGTATTGGAAGTGCTAGCCAGGGCAATAAGGCAAGAAAGGGATATCAAAAGCATCCAAGTTGGTAAGGAAGAAGTAAAACTATCACTATTTGCTGATGATATGATCCTTTACACACAAAACCCAAGAGCCTCAGCAAAAAAACTGCTGGAACTAATTGAGAGATTTAGCATAGTGGCAGGATACAAGGTCAACATCTAAAAATCAGTTGGATTCCTCTACACCAGCAAAGAGATTGCTGAAAGGGAAATAAAGAAATACCATTTACAATAGCTATCAAAAAGATAAAATACTTGAGAATAAATCTCACTAGGGACACAAAAGACCTGTACAAAGAAAACTACAAAAGACTACACTTCAAGAAACTGTAAGAGATCTACATAAATGGAAGAATATACCATGCTCATGGATAGGAAGGCTGAACATTGCAGAAATGTCCATACTACCCAAAGCAATCTATACATTCATTGCAATCCCAATCCAGATCCCATCAACATTCTTTAAGGATATGGATGGAAAAACCAATCACTAATATTATATGGTGGGGCCTCTGGTAGCGTAGTACCTGAGGCATTTGACTGATAACCAGAAGGCTGGCAGTTCAAACCCTCCAGCTACTCCTCAGAAGGAAGACTGGGCAATCTACTTCCATAGAAATATGTCCTTGGAAATCCAAGGAGGGGTCGCTACAAGTAGGAAACGACTCAAAGGCAGTGAGTTTAGTGGTTTTTTTTTTTTTTTTAATTTTGTATGAAAAGGAAAAGAGACTGAGGATGAGCAAAGCACTACTGAATAAGAACAAAGTAGGAGGACTCGCAATTCTAGATCGCAAAACCTAGTATACAGCCACAGTAGGCAAAACAGCCTGGTGTTGGTACAAGGACAGACACATAGACCAGTGGAACAGAATTGAGAACCCAGAAATAGATCCATCAGCCTATGGTCAGCTGATTTTTAACAAAGGGCTGAAATCCATCAAATCGAGAAGAGATGGTCCATTTAACAAATTACGCTGGCAAACTAGATATCTATTTGCGGAAAAATGAAACAAGATTTATACCTCACATCATACACAGAAACTAACTCCAGATGGATTAAAGACTTAAATGTGAAACCTAAAATTGTAACGTTCCTCAAAGAAAAACTAGGGGCAAATTTAGGGGCCCTAATTTATGGCATAGTGCCTAAGGCATTTGACGGCTAACCAGAAGGCTGGAGGTTCAAACCCACCAACCACTCCTCGGAAGGAAGGTTGGGCAATCTACTTCCATAGTGATACTAACTCAGCAACTCAAGGAGGGGTTGCTATGAGTCAGGGCCAACTTGACAGCACATAACAACAACAACACAATTTATGGCATAAATAGACTGTCAAGCAGAACCCACAATACACAAACAGCAGAAGATAAACTAGATGAATGGGACCTTCTAAAAAATAAATTTCTATGCGCTTTCAAAGACTTCTCCAAAAGAGTAAAAAGAGAACCTGCAGATTGGGAAAAAATATTCAGGAACAATATATATGACAGGGGACTTTTCTCTAAAATTTATAGACGACTCCAATATCTCAACAACAAAAAGACAAAGAATGGAATTTAAAAATGGTCAGAAGACATGAATAGACACTTAACCAAAGAGGACACTCAGGTGGCCAACAAACCCATGAAGAAATGTTCACAATCATTACACATTGGAGAGATGCAAATCAAAACAACAATGAGATACCATCTTGCTCCAGCACTAGTAGCAAAGTTCAACAAGACAGAAAATAACAAATGCTGCCGAGGATATGGAGAGATTGGGACTCTCATACACTGCTGGTGGGACTGTCAAATGATACAAACACTGTGGAAAGCAGTATGGTGATTCCTTAAAAAGGTGGAATTAGAAATACCATTTGACTCAGCAATCCCATTACTAAGTATATATCCTAAAGAAGTGAGATCCAAGGCAAGAACAGATATATACACACCAATGTTCATCGCAGCACTATTTACTATTTACAATAGCCAAAAGATGGAAACCACCTAGGTGTCCATGAAAAGAAGAATGGATAACCAAACTACGGTACATATACTCAATGGAATACTATGCAACACTAATGAATAATGTAGAATCTGCAAAACAATAATGAAGAATTCCACATAACATGGATGAAGTTGGAGGACATTATGCTGAGGGAAGTAAGTCAATCACAGAAGGACAAATATTGTTATTAGTTCGCTATTGTAAACAGTAAGGAAATGTTTATGTGTGGGAGGAAACTTTCTTTGTTGGTTACCAGGGGTGGGATCTGCTATACATAGGGTTGCTATGAGTTGGAGACGACTTGATGACACCTAACAACAAGAAGGAGTGGGAGGGGAGGGAACACTGCAAAAATAAAAAATAACAAATATGCTCAAAAACCATTTGCTGCATGAAAAGAATAATCCATGGAAAAGACCAAACGCTCCATAAACTCAAGTTCTGTGTTTGTCTTTATCTCCAAATCCCCAATGTCTAACACAGTATCTGACACATAGAAGAAACTCAGTGATTTATGAATAAATCTTTGCCTCCTCTAGTTCTTCAGCACAACTCAAGAAGGAAAGGTGCCAGGGAAAGCATCAAAGATGATTTCTGGTAGGTTGCTTGGAGTGTAAAACTGGAAATTACTTTAAGAATTCAGCCACTCCCTAATAAATAACCTGGACAGCATAAAGAGCACCGGCTCTTGGTTTAAATTCAGCTTCCAAAATGTGCAATCTTGGCAAATTAATCCATTAACCTCTCCAAGAGGTTTCCTCACCTCACCCTCAAAGAGTTGATCGGTAGTATGGAAGAGCAGGGACTTTATTTGGGGCATCCTGTATTCACATTAAAGAGCTCTGGAGGCACAGTGCCTAACCTTATTTGACTGCTAACCCCAAGATTGTAAGTTCAAATCCACTAGCCACTCGGCGAAAGATAGGGTCATCTACTTCGGTAAACACTGACCACGTTGCAAAACCAATGGCAGTAGCTATGAACCCAATCAACTGGATGGCACTGGTCTTTTTTTTTTTTTTTTTTTGGTATTCGCATTGGGTAGAACCATGCTTGGTGCAGTGTAGATTCTCCAATATTTAAATGAGTTTGGAAGAAACTGAGGTATACAGGAAAAATATGCAACTGAGTGCCTGGTACGCAGAAAACAGCAAGTGCCAGCCTCGATCATCACCGTCCTCACTACTACTGCCACTGTATCAGTATTATCACTTTTACTGGTGGTTGTAGAGCAAGCAGCCAGTTGCCTTTATTGAACGTCTTGGATTCAAATCCCGACTCCTCCACTTACGGATTATGTCATTTCGAACAAATTACCTAACTTATCCACGTCAGGTTCCTTTTGGTTCCACAAAAATCTGTGCTCTGAGAACTAAGAGGCTACATGGACACTACCTAACAGAGTCTGGAGCCCCGTCGGCACGCGATAAATGGACAGCGATTATTATAAAGGCAGAAAAATCGCCGAGTCTTCTTGCATCCAGATAACTCCCAGCAATTTCCCTCATTATTGTAGCCGTATACAATCTGACCGCAAAAAAGAGAGGAAGGAAAGAATTTCATAGCGACTGAAACCGCTAAATGAAAAAAGAGGCAATTAAATCGGTGCTTGACGGTTCCCACCAAAGGGTGCCAGTTTCCGTGACGGTCAACCAGCACAAGAAGCCAAGGCTGGGGCAGGACAGTCAGCACTGTCACAACAAAAACGAGACAGAGCCGACCTTACACCCTCCCCCTAACGGTCTCCCCGCCGCTGGCCTCAGGCGGCCGCAGACTCCAGTTTCCGGCCCCCGCAGGACCACAGTTCCCAGCATGCCTTCGGAGGGAAGTCTTTCCCGCTGGTTGACTACTAATCCCAGCATGCCACTCGACACAACAGTAAATTAGGTGGAAGAATGGGATGACCCCCCCATTGCATGCAGGGAATTGTAGTCTATTTAACTTCTGGCTCGCAGATGGGCGGGGAAAAAGCCCAGTCGCTCCCGTTCGCTGAGGAGAATGATTCATAGAAGAGGGTCAGGAGGGAAGAGTTGTGTCTGTGAAACCCCAATTCAGAGGCTGCACTCTTGTCTCAAGAAAAGAGAAGCAGGAGAGCAAACAGCGCCTCGGGCCTGACTTCGCCTCAGGCCGGGCGACAGGCCTCCGTCGAGTCCTGGGCCTTTTTGGGGGCGGCCGCGAAGCGCCGGTTGCTGGGGGAGCGGTGACGTCGCGGGGTGAAAGTTGAGGGGCGGTGACGTCGGGCCTGCCTGGGCGGAGGCTGGCGGATTGGAGACAGAAGGGAGGGAGGGAAGGAAGGAAGCTGGGAAGGAGCGAGCGAGCGGGGGCGCGAGGCGTTTACCTGGAGGCAGTGGCTTGGGCGCGCAGAGCGGCCGCGGCTCCCCCGCACCTGCGGCCATGGATGAGGAGCGCGCCCTCTACATCGTCCGGGCCGGCGAGGCGGGGGCTATCGAGCGGGTCCTAAGGGATTACAGCGACAAGGTAAAGAGCCCTGGCCCCGGGCGTGCGGTACCGCACCCCCGGGCCGCTCTCCGGGCTTGCACATAGCATCCCTCCCCACCCCCCTCACTTCGGGGATGCGCATTGCTCTCCCCTAAAACGTTTCCGGCTTGGGCATGCGTGTTTGTGCCCCCAGCCTTTCCATTCGGTGCATCCTGTATCCCCCTGCCCCCACTCCAGCGCCCACTACCCTGATTCCTGGCCCGGTAGCTTGTCCTGCCGTCCTCCCTCCAAGCATGCAAGTCACACCCCCGGAATCCTTCGATGTGCGTCTGTGCCCTGTGCCCCACTCTTAGATGCACAAAAGCATGCGAGGCGTCCTCACCTGTATAGTATAAAAATACGTACTTCTCTACATGAACACGGCCCTTGACATGCAAAAAACTTGCCATCAACGATGGCAGTGCTTTATATACCTGTAGCATTGTACAGTTTTCAGGGTCTTATGTCTCTTTTGGTGGTCTCATTTGATCCTCAGTGATTATAGGTTAGATGGTATCACCTTCCCCATTTTATAGATGAGAAAACCGAGGCACGAAGAACTGAAATCCTGCCCAAGGTCATGAATATATTGTGTTAGAAGGGAGTGTAGAATCTAATTCTTAATAGTACCCGTTGTGTGTATCGCATTAATAGCTTTCCTTCCCATTATCACATTTAATCTTGACAGCAATCTTTGTGAGGTATTATCTGCATTTTGCAACTGAGACTCTAGATCTATTAAGTAACTTGCCCAAGGTCAGAATGTGAGCTGTATTCCAAACTCTAACCATTCTTTTGTTCTTTTCACTTTACAACTCTGCTGTAAAAGGTTGTTGTTGTTGTTGTTGTTATGTGCCTTCGAGTCAAACCCGACTCATAGCGACCCCTCCTTGGGTTTCCGAGGCAGTATCACTACAGAAATAGGATTGCCCAACCTTCCTTCCGAGGAGTGGCTGGTGGGTTTGAAAGATAGCTCCTTATAAATCCCAGTCGCTTCTCTGAAGCTCTCTCCAAGAAGTTAGCTCTCCATTATTTTTCCTTCCAGGAATCTTAACATGCTCACTTGAAAAGGTAGCATGTCACACCTTTATTCATTTCAGAGACATTTAGGAATAACTGAATACTCCCTTTTCTGAAAGCACACCCTACAGCGGGTTACACCTGAGATGTCACATCTTCCTTTCATCTGCCTCCATCCTGACTCCCCTCGGAGTGTTTGCTATACGCCTACCACTGCACTTTTGTACACCTTGGATTGTTGCGCTTCTGCAGTATGTCACTTCTGCTCTGGATGGAGAAGATCCAAAAGTCAAAAACACATAATATTTATGAATGTTTACAAATAGCCTTCATTCCCGTGTACTCTTTCTAACTGCTCTGTGAGGAGCAGTATTCCCTATTTCACAATGACATTGGGCATTGAAACAGAGTCCGATGCTTGGTAAAGAAGAGGGTCAGGGAAGAAGGGGAAGACCCCCAATGAGATGGATTGACACAGTGGCTGCAACAGTGGGCTCAAGCATATCAAGGATTGTGAGGATGGCGTGGGACTGGGCTGTGTTTTGGTCTGTTTTGCATAGGGTCACTATGAGTCAGAACCGACTGGACAGCACCTAACAACAATACAGTCCTAAGTCCATACAGCCCCTACAGTATATGCTGCTTTCTTTGCAAGGATACATGTTGTTGTTGTTGTTATGTGCCATTGAATAGGTTCTATATTATTCACATCTCCATCTGGTAGCATAGTCCCTAAGGCACTTGACTGCTGATCAGAAGTCTGGCAGTTCAAACCCACCAGCTAATCGTCGGAAGGAAGATGGGGCAATCTACTTCCGTAGTGATACTGCCTTGGAAACCCAAGGAGGGGTCGCTATGAGTTGGGTCCGACTCAACGGCACATAACAACAACAACAACAACAACATATTCATTTAACTTGATTTTTTACTGCTTTCCAAAAAAGATGTGAGGCAGCTGTAAAACAAGTTTCACAAGAAAAAAAAGAAATACAAAAGAAAACTTAGCTATTGTGTTGGATCAGCTGTTTATTTACTTACTTAACTATATGCCAGATACCTAGCAATAAATAGGAACTTTCTTTTATCCGAGAAGGAGGAGGAAAAACTTCCAGCTGGATCTTATCATCCCTTCAATATTTCTTCTTCCCATGGTGGCTGAATTCCTTAGAACTCCAGATTTGCTTCCTCCAATTTTTCTCTTCCTATCCTTGATTTCCCTTCAGGTTGGTTTCTACTTACCAATCCTGGCCAAGTGCTGTCAGAGCCTAAGTCCTGGACATCTCCAGCTCCCCTTTGTCACATTGGGAATGTTTTTAAGTTCTTTTGCCTGATGTGTATTGTTTAATGCAGTATTCCTGAAGGACTTGGGAGGATTTTCCAAATACTTGCACTTTTATGAGCCAAGCCCAAGAATGCTCTGACTTGACAGTAAATTGTATTAGTTGTCTCCCTTAGAGGAGAGTTCACTATGTTAATTCTGCTTATAGAAGGGACAGACTACAGTGGAAATAGCTTTGGTTACATTGCAGTGGAGCTTTGCCCCTCAGAGAGAGAGACTTTGGGGTAGATGAATAGGGAAAATACAAAAGCTGTGGTCAGGTTGGAAGAATGGGGAGATGGAATTAAATTCCCTTCTCTGTAGTATATAGGGAGCTTTGGTGGCATAGTGCCTAAGGCATTTGACTGCTAACCAGAAGGCTGGCGGTTCACACCCACCAGCCACTCCTTGAAGGTAGATTGGGCAGTGTACTTCCGTAGTGATACCACCTCAGAAACCCAAGGAGATGGGGCACTATGAGTCGGATCTGATTCGATGGCAATGAGTTTACTTTTTTGGTTTTATAGTATATGGAAGGATCTCTGGTGGTGTAGTGGTAAAGGCATTTGGCTTCTAACCAAAAGGTTGGTGGTTGGAACCAATCAGCTGCTCCAGAGAGGAAAGGTGAGACAGTCTGCTCCTGGAAAGATTTACAGCCTTGGAAACCGAATAGGGGTTGGTTGGTAAGAGTTGGAATCAACTCGAAGGCCGTGAGTTTGGTTAGGCTTGGTTTACAGTATATGGAGTCTGGAACCCTGAAAAAGAAATGATGTGCTTCGGTTTTCTCATCTGGAAAATGAATTTGAGAAATGCTGTTTGGAATAAGAGATTATTATAGGGCATTGAGTGTCCTTGGGTAGTGCGAAGAATTAACATACTTGGATGCTAAACACAACAGGTTGGAAGTTTGAGTCTACCCAGAGGTGCCTTGGAAGAAAGACCTGGTGATCTACGTCCAAAAAAAAAAAAAACAGCCGTTGAAAACCCTGTGGGGCACATCTGCACCCTGACACACAAAGGGTTGCCATGAGTAGATGTCGATTCAGTGGCAACTGGTTAATGGAGTATTGAGGAATCTACCTAAGAAGGGAAATGAGTGACACATAGCGAAAGAATGATTGATTTATTGTGGTTAGGGAGAGGTTCAGTATGCTATCTTAATCTAATAAGCCAGTCTCTGAAAGAAGGCAGTCAGGTATAATGGAAAGAAGGTGGGATTTGGAGTTAGATAAACTTTGGTTTAAAATTCCAGCTCTGCCATTTGTTAGCATGACTGTGGGTAAGTTATTTTAAGCCTCTGAGTCTCATTTTATTTATAAAATGGGCATAATACCACCATTCTCTTAAATTATTATGAGGTAAAATTAAATGAACTGTTAGATGCTAAACACTGAGTATAGTGCGCTTAGAAGGCACTTGCTCAGTAATTCACAATTACAGTAATCAAGGTACTGAGGACATCTTGGGGCACAGGCTTTGGAGCGAGATTGTCTGGACTTTGATCATCCACTTACAGTCTGTGTTGGGCAAGTTAGTTAACTTTGTTGTGCTTCAGTTTTCTCATCTGCCAAACAGGAGTAACAGTAGTGCCTACATCACAAGATTGTTGTCAGGCCTTCATTGGTATTTGTAAAGTACTGAGCACAGTCCCTAGCATGAGGAAACAACACATAACTATTAGGTATTTTTTTTTAAGGCAGGAACTAAACATCTGGCACTAAGTTGACATAGCCCAATATGAAGATTTAGAAATATATTCTGTTTCCTTTTTTCTTGACTCTTGTACCTCCTAGTTGGGTAGCAGAATAGTGTATACCTTGTGTGTTTGGAGCAATATTTATCTGTCTGGCTCCAGGTAACATCTGATTTTTGAAGTTCTTCAGAGTCTCATTCTCAGACCTTCTTGCTTCATTCACTGACTCTTGTTATCTTGGGAGGGAAGATCTATACCGGGTTTCTCAAGGGCATAATGTATGTTGACTCAGTATAGAAAAGTAGTAAGGAAAAAAAAAAGAATGGTGGTTCTTTTTCACTCCTTAGTTCATCTGTTAATATTCCTGCTATATGCCATGTTTCTAAGCATCTTCACATATGTCATTACATAAAATCCTGTTATAACTTAGGAGGGAGTTGGAAGTACTCTCATTCATCTGGAATAGGAAATTGAGGCTCAGGAAAACAAAGTGACTATGTGTTCAAGAGAAATCTCTAAAAAATGGCAGACCTAGTCTTCAGATTCCATATCCCAGACTCTTTATGCAGCAAAATATCGTGCCTTTATCCTTGCCTATTCTGTGCTTTGAGCACGAAAGAGGAAGTTTCTCAGGCGCAATGTACTATATCCTTTGGATACTGTTGGATTCTGATCACCTCCACTCCAGTTACAGAATGGGCTATTAATTGTGGACTGTCCAAGCTCCTCCTCCATCAGGGCCTGTTCTGATAATCAACTTAGGAGGGAGATTGGTTGTCATCATCCTGATTATCAACAACAAATAGTGATTAAGGCCCCAAGGTGCACAGTGCTGTCACAGTTCCTTGAATCACAAGCTATTTAGACTAGAAAAAAACAAACCAAACTCACTGCCATTGAGTCAAATATGAGTCATAGTGACTCCTTTTGGGTTTCCAAGGTGGTAAATTTTTACAGAAGTAGGTTGCCCAGTCTTCCTATTGAGTCCAGCCTCCTCTTTTAATAGTTGAAGAAACTGAGGTTCAAAGTCATCAGCTATATTGATACTCAGAGCAATTAGAGATTGGTGACCATAACAAACTCCAGCAGAATTCCATTTTGGATGTATGGCAAGTTTATGGCCAGATGAAGGGTAAAGAGCATGTAAGACACAGGGAGATACGTAGGTGTCCAAGAGTAGTCTTCTTAGGAGAGGAAAACCACACTGATAACAGTGAGGTCTTCATTTATGTGCCTGAAGAATAGAGACACTTCTAGAAATAAAGCCTCTGCATTTGAATAGGGTTATGTCCGACATCTTGGACTACATAAGAGGACTTTGTGCCTTCTAACTGATCAAGGTTGAATTCTGACTGAGTTTATACACTGTAGGTTTTTGCATAGAAGTATGTTTAGTGGGCTGCTCCTTTGTTGTACCTTGTTCTTATTTTCAGATCGGTTTATATAATTTGATTATTGGTGTTTAGTTCTAGAAGTAATCTCAATTCGTGAAACACAAGACACACACACACACATATACATATTACCCCAATTAGAGTAATTCCTGTATATCAGTACTGTTGGAGTGGAGTTTTGGATTGGAAATCTAGGAAATAACTCCTGGTTCTTCAGTAGGTTGATACTTGGCCAGATGCCACATAAAAGGCCATGAATAATTACAGTAGTGACCATTTATTGAGAACCTACTATGTGCAAGGTGGGAGCTCTGGTGGCGTAGTGCCTAAGGCATTTGACTGCTAACCAGAAGGCTGGCAATTCAAACCTACCAGCCACTCCTTGGAAGGAAGATTGGGCAATCTACATCCGTAGAGATACTGCCTCGGAAACCCAAGAATGGGTCGCTGTGAGTTGAATCCACTCCATGGCAGTGAGTTTGGTTTTTTGGGGGGGTATATACAAGGTGCTATAAATGAAGATAAGGAAACTCTGAGGGGTAGTAAGGTTGAATAACTTGACCTGCGTCACACTATTGGTAAGCAGCAGGACTGGGATTCAAACCCAACGCTATCTGACTTGCAGAGCCTGTGCTTTTTAGAGCCTATTCATGGCATATAAAACCTGAGTGGGGAGTCCTCATGATAAATCTGTGTGTGTCAAAGAGCTGCTGTTCCTAGCTTACTTGGTCTCTGAGTTGAACTCTTTAGTTTATAGTTGAGTGACTGCTCCTGCTCATCTGGAAATTACGCAAATATAAAGATGTGTGGTAGTTGACTGTTGGCTAACAGTTCTAGAAAGGCATACAGCCAGAAATGCTAGCTGCTGTTCATACCTCTCCTCACATTCAGCCTTGGAAAGATGAAAGAATAAGGTTTGAGGAACCAGAGTTGTTGTTGTTATGTGCCATCGAGTCGACCCCAACTCATAGTGACCCCTCCTTGGGTTTCCGAGGCAGTATCACTACGGAAGTAGATTGCCCCATCTTCCTTCTGAGGAGTGGCTGGTAGATTTGAACCTCCAGCCTTCTGGTTAGCAGTCAAGTGCCTTAGCCACTACGCTACCAGAGCTCCTGAGGATACAGAGTAGGTTAGGCGTAATCAAAGATCAAAGTTGGATAAAAGAAGCCAGCCTTATAGAAGCCAGCGTCTTTTGGATCCAGTCTCAGAGAGCTGAGTTACTGAGTAGGTTGGCACATTCAGAATTCAATTTATGTTGCCTCACACACTGATATATTTTCTAATTAAGTTAAACTCTTAGGCTAGTTAGGAGACAGGACTTTTGCAAACTTTTTTTTTTTTTAATGTAGTTTTGTCAGCCTTACGGTTACAAAATTAACAGAAAACTTGATCTTTGGTACTATTCTAAATTATAAAGTTAAAAGATCAATTCCACATTGGAACTACTTAAAAGATATTTTTGTACATTAATGAATATCTTTCCAGGGAGAAAAAAAAAGGGGAGCCTTGCTGGTGCAATGGTTAAAGCACTCAGCTATTAACTGAAAGGTCGGTAGTTTGAACACACCAGTTGCTTTGTGGGAGAAAGATGTGGTAGTTGGCTTCCATAAAGATTCCAAAAACCAAACTCAACTGTCATGGAGTCAGATCCCACTCATAGTGACCCCTCCTTGGGTTTCTGAGGCGGTATCTCTATGGAAGTAGATTGCCCCATCTTTCTTCCGAGGAGTGGCTGGTGGATTTGAACTGCCAGCCTTCTGGTTAGCAGTCCAGTACCTTAGGCACTATGCTACCAGAGCTCCCTCCATAAAGATTACAGCCTTGGAAACTCTCTGGGGCAGTTCTAGTCTGTCCTTTAAATTTCTTTTTAAGTCGGAGTTGGCTCAACAGCAGTGGTTTGGTTTTTTTGTTTTGTTTTGTTTTCAGAAAACAATGATTTTCCTTATTATCTCACCATAAATGCCAAAATATCTAGGGAAAACCAAAGTACTGGCAACTAGATATATTATTTCCAGATAACTTATAGAATATCTCACATATAAAGGCAAAAATTAAGCTTTCATGGTTTGTGTGTATAATTATCTATTTGATGGTGCAGGACCAGGCATTGTGTCATTCTGTTGTACTGTGAGTCAGAACTGACTTGATGGTACCTAACAACAACAACAACAACAACATTAGACCTTTATTAAGTTTTTGTTTACAATCTTAGTCTGATTTCTGGTGTTGCTTTCTCTTTTAATACTTAATAAACAATAGCCCACAGATTTATAATTTGTTCATCTGTTCTTTCTTCATTCATTCTTTATCCTTTCTTTTAAATTAACCTTTATTATTATTATTATTATTAAATATTAGCAATAATAAGTTTTAAAAGAAATCATGAGAAATTCCACTCTTGTACTGTTGCTTTTACTTTTGCATTTTAACATTCGTCTTTGTTCTTATGCATTCATAAATGTATATACGTAGTTACTGTCGTCATAGACCTGTAATTTGATGTTTTACTGTTTTTCCACTTGATGCCATTATAAGTAATTTTCTATGTTGCTGTAGCACTTCAAAGCCATCATTCTAAAAAAAAATTGCTATGTAATAGCCTGTCAAGTGGATGCACAATTTATCTCATGAATCTCCTATTGGATACTCAGGTTGTCTTTCTCTCTCCCTTTTTTCTCCCATGACATTAAATAACACTGCAGTGAATATGCTTACATGTGTGATTTTTCTCTCCTTCGGAATCATTTCATTAGTATAACTTCCTAGGATTAGGAGTTCTGGGTCAAAGGCTGTGAATATTTTTATGGCTTCTAATATGTGTTGCCAAATCACTTTCCTTTTTAAGGTTTGTGGCAGTTTATACTGCCTCCCACAGTATCACGCCTGGATTATTGATGCCCATTCCTCACAGGGCTTCATGTCCTCCATCTTGTTGTCCTTTTTGATCTGCCCCGTGAGCTCCTGCTCAAAATATTCATCCAAATTTCTCTACTGTTCATGCCTCCCTCAGAGTGTTCCCCTGTTGCCAGCCATCCATCTGCCAGGTCAGGTATAAAATTTTAAATTGAAACTCTTACCATCTGACTTCATCCATTTTAATTGTTTTGCATACTGTATTCCAGGTAACCAGCCTCCCTTAGGTTCTCCTCAACACCCTTCTCCCTGACCACAAGTCTTCCCTCTGACCATGTTTTGCATTTAGAACTGCTTCTCTGCCAACCCTTCTCTATCTCATTTAATTTCAAAAACTGCTGCTTCTACAAAGCTGTCAATGCAGAACCACCTGTAATGATGATATCTTTAGTACTTAGTGTACTTAACTCCTGGTGGGCTGCCAGGAGTTCAGGGGAGGTGTTTTTTTTTTTTTTTTTTTTTTAAGGAAAGCTTTGGATTCACAAGATCACTTGGTTCTCTGGAATAAAACTTGGAAAGAGAATGAGGAATTATGTGCTCTGATTTTCTGGTACCGTCACCTACAGAGTAGAAAATGCAGTGTTGCCAGTCATTTCTGGAGAGTCATGACAAGCTCTCTTCTATTCCATTTATTTTTTCCTCGTTATCATTGGCATCATCATTACAACCCTAGTATTTACTGGGTGTTGACTATGTGCCATGCACCGAGATGGTGCTGCCTTAGCTCTCTTAACCCTTATAGTAACCCTGTAAACCAGGTACTTTGATTTCACCATTTTCAGATGAGAAACCAGTTACAGTTAGTTGGTCAAGGTCACAAAGCTGGTAAGTGGTGGAGCCATGATTTAAACCCTCATTATTACAGAATTATTTTTCTGAAATACCAGCCTACCCAAATTTCTCTGATGATTTCTTATTGCATATGAAAAAGAAAGTACAAACTCCTCACCAACATCAAAAACCAAACCAGACTCCCTGCCATCAAGTTGATCCTGACTCATAGCAACCCCCATTGGGTGTCCAAGGCTGCAAATCTTTACGGAAGTAGACTGCCTCATCTTTTTTCTGCAGAGCAGTTGGTGGGTTTGAACCACTGACCTTTTAGTTAGCAGCCAAATGTCTTAACCACTGCACCATCAGAGCTCCTTACCAACCTCAGAAGGCCTTTACAAATCTATCCAGTCTACTTTTCCATCCTCATCTTTCTCAGCTCCCTTTCCCCTAACATGTATCCTATGCTCGAGTCTCATAGAGCTAAATATTTATTTCACAAATAAATCACACAGTTTCACACATTTGAGCCTTTGTTTCTGTCCTTAGCATGCTTTCCATCTACCCGATGGCAAACTCCTATTCATCCCTCAAGGCTCAGTTCAAATAGTATATTCTTTATGTCAAAAGCATTCCAAATTCCCTGTGCAGTTAGTGACTTGGTTCTTTTTCCTCCTTTGCATATGTTTCTGCTGTAGGCTTTTTACACTGCTCTATAATTACTTGCCTACGTGCCTATTTCACTTTAATAAGAATTTGAGATGTAAGATGGGAAGACAGCATTTTTACAGGGACATTATTTCATAGCTAAAATTAAAAATCAGTATATTTAAAATGACATAGTTTCTCTTTTCTTTCCCCTTCAGCATAGGGCTACTTTCAAATTTGAATCAACAGATGAAGATAAAAGAAAGGTAAGCCTTTTGTTATTCTCTGTGTGTATGTATTTCACTCATGTACTTTCTAAGGAGCAGACTTGTTTGTTTTCATCTGATGGGCTTTGATTAGTTTTTAGTTTCCCTTCAGTTTGTTTTTTAGGAACTCTAAGAGAGACAGATGCCAGGCTTGATACAGGTGACACACTGGTTACTCCTGCTCCTTTCCTGCAGGACCATTAGGCATGTATAAATCAGGGTTGTAGAAGGGCTCAGAGGGGTCCCTCTTCCCCAGATTATTCACCCCCCGGAGACTGACATTGTTTGGTGGCAGGACTGTAGGCTGTCAAAATGCATTGTTCATCTTGTACAACTTGCTCAGAGTGGGTTGAGGTTTGGGAATGCACTTATTCATACTGGTGCCCCTGAGCTGTGTATCCTTCCTGTGCTGGCAGTTATTTATGTTGTCAGCAGCTGTCTAGGATCACTGACTTCAGGAACATAGAGGAAAATGGAGTCAAGAAACTCATCAAAAGAGGAGCTATTATAAGAGAGGGTGTGTGAGAGACATGACCATGTAATGTTATGCTTGCCTGTTGGGGTTGCCTGTGGTTGTTTTACTTAGTTAATTAGAGCACTGTGCTAGTAAGGACAGGCTCACCAGTTTGTGTTGCTTGCCTCCATACAAATGCAAGACCAGGTAAGATAGTAAGATTGAACAGTAGAAACATATCACTGTTCTGGAAAAATAGCTTAAATGCAGTGCTTTATTGGTGGTGGTTTGAATGCACCTTGGAGTCATTGCCCCATTTGCCTTCACCCCATATCCAGTGTCTTAAGTCCTGCTCATTTTACCTTTTAAGATTTCTTCAGTACGTTTTCTCCTTAACCTCTGCCTAGTTCAAGCATTCATTTGGATTACTGATTGGTTTCCTAACTTTTTTCTTTCTCCAGTTATGTGCCCTTCTAGTACATTCCATAAATCTAAAACAGCAATTTGACCATATTAATCCCAGCCTTAAAACTCTTCTGTGACTTTCTTTGCCTACGAACAAAACTCCAGCTTCTTAATGTGACATACTAGGTGCTTAGTGGTCTGGTCTCTGCCTGCTTTGATAGCCTGTCACTTACTTCTCTCTCCCTTGTATTTGATTCTCTAGAAATAAGAAATGTTTTCAGCCCAACACATCTTCTGTTTCTTATTTCTCACCTTTGCTTATGTTGTTTTCTGCCTAGAATCCTTCTTCTTTTTACCTCTTTTTCTTTTCATCTGAGTAATTCCTACTCAGCTCTGGAGTGTCTCCTTCAGGAAGCCTTCGTTGGTACTCCTGTTACGGTGAAAGTACCCATGTTCATTATTCCCATAAAATTCTGTGTAAGCCTTAAACACTATACTTTCTCTTAATTCTAGGTGTCTTTCTTGGTTAGACTCTGAGTAATGCGTAATGATACGTATTGTTATTTATGTTTATGTCTTCAACATCTAGAGTGCTCGGTACATAACAGATACCCAGAAAAATATTGAATGAGTGACCATGGAATATGCATTTTGGAAGTTAAAGCTTTGACTGACTTTTGGATTTGTACAACACAAGCAAGAATAGAACACTTTTTAGAACAGGGGTTCTAATCAGGGATAGTACTCAGTGGGACACTTCTTCAAGATATACCTGCTGTAGCCCAAACCCCTATCTGTTGAGTCAGAATTTAGAGGGTGGGGTCCAGTCCAGTCATGAGTATTTTTATGAATCGTCTTCAGCAAATGAGTACTCATACATCTGGTGGGAGTACAAAGTGGCACAGTCCCAATGGAGGAGAAATTGGGAATAGCTATACAAATTACACTGACTTTATCCTTTAACCCAGCAATCTTGCTTTTAGTAATATATACTAAAGATTAGAAGCAACCAAGTGTCTAGTAATTAGGGAATATTTGAGAAACTGGGGCACATCCATATAATGGAATACTCTAATGTAGTAAAGTGTAAGAGAAAGAGGGAGGGGAAGAGAAGGAGAAAAAGAGAGAGAGAAGCTGTTATGTTCCCTGGGAGAGAGAAAGCTAAGTGAAGCTAAGTGAAGAAAAAAAAAAGCCAGGTGTTAAAAAGAACATTATGTTTGACACACTCATGATAAGTATTAGGCTGGGAAGGCAGCTTCTTGTTTACATCAGTTGGGAGAATCCATACCACATCTGTAGATTTGTGATTCCTTTGGAATGTGACCTGGAATGTTTGGCAGTGTTTCTTACTGTCCAATTAAGTACATTAAGAAGAGATTCCTCTACTTTTTAGAACAGGGATTCTAATCATTCAATACTCAGTTGAATATAAATTTCAATTGAAGGAGATAAATTTCCCACAGAGTTTTTAATAAAACATGTTTGTGTTATTTCATGTATGACAGTAGCAAACTTTGACATTTTCAAAATACAGTCTTTTACCACATTTTAGATATTTAGAGAGAGTAACTGCTGTACCAGTGCTTATTCTCAGTTGTGGTGTATAGATTTCTGCTTCCTGGAAAGTCTGACATAAACACATGTCATTAGGGATCTAGCTTGGTAAACTTCATTAATGGAAAAGCATTGACAAACAAAGCCATTTCAGTCTCCAAGGGTTAAAACCATTAGTCACTCTTTCGTGCCTAAAGGAAAGGCCTCTTTTAGATTTTAAAATGACAACTATGGGACAGCTCTGTAGGAGCTACATCATAACAGGGTTTTAAGTTCTCAGTGCAGAGATACGTAGAATGGTAGGCATTTCTTCATATTAAACCCAATCTGAAAATAAGAGGAACTCAAATTACCACCCAATTTGTTTTGCTGCCCTAGTTCTCTTTTTTTCTTTCCTAAAAGTGTCTCTGGAGCCTTCTTCCAGCAGCTCCTTGGTAACAGCAGTACCCCTTGGATACTTGATAAACTGCTAGTGCTGTGTCTCTAAAGAACACCACAGAACACCACCTTCCTTATGTAAAAACCTTTATTGACAACTTAGAAGGAAGTGCAATGGAAGGGTACCCTTCAAAAAACAAAACTTGATTTTACTGAGCTTTTTAAGAGATGGCTGTAAATTAATGATGCTTAGGCCTAATTCCTAGCACTTAGATAGTGTTTTGCACAAAGATATGCTTCTCACTAGTATTACAGTATATATGATGAGGATGTCCCTATCCCTATTTTATGGATAAACCAAGGCTCAGATTAATGACAACTTGTTCATGCTTACACGCCTAGGAAGTTGCAGAGCCTGAATTAACTAGATTTCCTGACAATTACATGCTGCTCTTTACTGCTCATCGATCCATAGCTCCCTCTCATTACCTTTGAAGTATATTTCAGAAGTCTTGAGATTATGATCCAGTACCTTGTGTAATTTCTTATTTCATACATTGAGACGCTGTTTAGGCAACTAGGCATAAATTGGAAGAAGTAAAGTCAGATGCAACTCCTGGTGTTGGTGCATATAATGCAAATAGTTCCAGGTGCATGTGGATCACTGTATATTTGGATATAGGCATCTGTGCTTATTGACGCATGTACTTTACATCCTCTACCTAAATTGATAGGTTGTGATTATCTGCTAGCACATAAGCAAATAAATCATGCAAATGTGTGGGGTAGGGGAGTATAATGAGTAATCTGAAAATTCATCTTGAGGAAATGAAAACTCTCATATTTGTTTTTCAGACAAAACTGACCTGCAGACCAAGAGAGTGGCTAATCACAATAAATGTTGAAAAGGACATAACATAAAATGAGTGAAAGAACAGAAGTTTTCACCTATAAGATAAAAATAAAACTTTCAGTTGTTATCTGAGATAAATCTTTATGTACGTAGTAATATTCCTCAAAAGAGTAAAGTTAAAAATAGCCAGATTTTAAGCGTTTACTTCATTGTCTCTGTGTTGTGCAAACTCATGCAATTAAGCCCATATTTCTGTGATACATAAACTAATTACAGACCAGAGACTATGAGCTCTTTGAGGGTAAGAACTCTGACTGACTTATTTTTGTATTTTCAGTCCTTAGCCCTGCATATGGTACAAAATAGGCACTTACAAAAAAAATCTGTTATGAATGAAGGAAATTTGAAGACTGAGTAGAGGCCAGGATTCCTGGGACTTGTACATATTGTTTGGTTTTGTGTTTGATATTTTCTTTGTTATATAGTAGAATCTCAAGCACATCTCTTTTTTTTTAATTAATTAATTTATTTTTATTGTGATTTGGGTGAAAATTTACAGAGCAAATTCACTTCCCATACAGCAGTTCACATACACTTCATCTCATGACATTGACTACAATTCACCACAATGCAACAGCTCCTCTCCCACTTCCTCCCAACAGTCACCTCTTCCCTGTGTCCATCCTTCCATGCACCCCTGCCCTCTGAGCTGTCTCCTTGTGCGTAAACAGGCCTTCTTTCTCCCATGATTGTTCTCTCCAAGGAGTGTATCTACCTCAGGTAAATGTTCAACTCCTATGCCTATCTTCTATTTGGCTGGAAGCCACAGGTATGGGTTCAATTCCAGACCTGAAGGGTAGCTAGGGGCCATAGTCTCATTGGTTCCACCAGGCTCTATCAGACCAGCAAACCTGATCCCCCTCCCCCCACCAAATGATTTTAAGTTTTGTTCCACATTGTTCTCCCTCTCTATCCAGGATCTCTTATATAGATCCCTCTCCAAGTGGTTGACAGTGGTAGCTGGGCATCATCTAGTTCTTTTGGTCTCATAATTGTTTAGGCTGCAGATCACTTGATGTATCAGTCGCTAGGACTAATTCTTTCCATCAGTCTTTAGTTTTCTTCATTCTTCTTTGCTCTGGATGAGGAGAGACCCGTCGTTGCATCTAGGTGGCTGCTTGCAAGCTTTTAAGATCCCAGTTGTTACTCGCCAAAGTAGGAGGTGGAACAATGTTTTACATAGTATGTTACACCAGTTGAGCTTAATGTCCCCTGTGACTGTGGTCCTGAGCCCAAGGGTTCAACTACTCAGTTCCTCTGGGTAGCTGGCTGTGACCAAGAAGTGACTACAACCTT